CAGTACCACCCTGGACGAATATCCGGAGTTTAGCTACAACGTGACAACTGTTGTGATCAGTGAGCCAACGTTTTCTGAGCCTGACAGTCCCGCTATACCGTCCAGCGAAGACTCCCTCACACAAAGGACGTCAGCGGTAAGTAGGAGATAGGTGATATCGAGCAATATCGCACACCAATAGGTATCCATTTATTTTACATCCATACATATACGTATTAACGACATAGGCCAGTATTAATTATGTACTTTGGCTCACTCTGTGCAATACAATTATTACATTGCATCATGTTAGTATTATATCATATGCTTCTACTACCGCTGTTAGAGAACTTGGAATTTATCCTACACATGTAACCTAATATGTTCTCCATGGTTCTGTAAGGATATAGCTACCTATTGTAATGGTTGTTAGATTCGTTTGCGGAAAATGAAGTGATTAAAAGCTTTCGTTTCCCCTGGCAAGCTTAATTCAGTGGACCTTATAGAGGTATCTTAGGCTTTTTCTAGTCGCTGATGTCAACGCCGAGGTTAATTGACCTCTATCACGTCAAGTTCAAGGTCTCAGAAAAAAATTACTTAAAGATTTAAAAAACATTGTATTTAGTCTAATCGTACATAGCAAATTTCCTCGAAATAATTGTAAAGTCTGGTTTTATTGATGCAAGTTGTTCAAGGGGGTAATTAAAACATCGACGCACAAAATGGGTATACCGATTTTTGTGGAAAAACTTTTTATTCGACAACAAAGAATGAGAAAACGTGTTTTTTGGGATTTAATCGAAAGTGTTGGCAGGAACGGAAAAAAATCCTCGAATATATATATATATATATATATATATATATATATATAAGTTTTTACAAAATACCCGTGCCGGAGATTGCTTTAACCGGCATGGTCATCCAGAGGTTACTTTAAGGTCAAATTATGATTAGTTCATGGTCAAGGTTGGTTACCTTGCTGGGCAAAACAAACGCCAGATTTGAATTCAGTGAACCAGAAAAGTACAATACACATTTTTCCAAACTTTTCAGCTTTTTTTCTAAACTTAACCTCGAAATGACCTTGCATCTGACGTGATAGAGGTCAATAATGACGGCAATGGATTCGACGACCCCAAAAACCTCATACAATGGTTGTGGTCATAGTTAAATCAATGTTTACTTTTCTGCTCCTTCGTAAGATGAGACATTTGGTCAGCGATTAGATCAGGACTTGCAAACATGTCAATGTACTACATAATATTTGATTTGTTTTCCAGAGTTTGAGTCTCCTAAAACCACCTTCTCTCTCTCCGCCACCACTCACTTACCGCGAGTTCGAGAAACCTCCTGACTTGAACCAACTAACAGCAAAGCTGGTGACACACAACGAGAAGATCGGTTCAAAAACTATGACCTTCTCAGAGAAAGTTGGGCATATTAATAAAAATGAGAACAATCCTAGCCAGGTATCTTTTTTACAGTTACTTTTTGTCTTTGCTTGAAACAAATTTGTTCCTGACTATGATTCAGTCAAAACCTAAATAATGCTTTTTGCGTTTATGAGTACAATACCTAACCAAATTTCAATTTTTAATTAATGTGTTAAAAGAGGAACAATAATATATATTTGTAATCAGTATGAAATCTTATGGAATCTAGTGTTTTGCAGTCAAAAAGTACAAGATAGGCAGAACCTAGAGCCAGCTTAGCGTTTACAGAAAGGAACTGTCTTGAGATCCAGCTATAAACATCGGTGTTTTCTGTCATTGGATCGTCTCTTTTGTTGTTTCCAGGAAAAGGATAAAATTCAGAGAAAGTGTTCTTGGAAGCTCGCCTCGAAACCAAGTTTGAAGAAGAAGAAACCTAGAGCCAGTTCAGATTCAGAAGATGCACCTTTAAACAATGGCCGTGACCACTCTCACTGTAATGGGGGAGGTGTAGCTAGACAGGTAGGTCAAACATAAACCAATTCTGTAAATAGTACAATACGATCATATTTATGGTTAGTTTGTCCAAATATTTTCTCACAAAAAGGACTTGGATCTTCTTTAACATACATAATTATACTTCCGATTTGCTCGCTAAGCAGTGTAGCCAAAAATAATACATCACTATGTATTTTTATACTTGACGTGAGATTAGATTTGGAAGAAGAGGCACTTTTTCGACCTAAAAACAAGTTTGATCGATTTGACCACAAACAGCACTCATAGTAACCTCCTCCTGGCCAGAGTGAAGGTCAGTTCAATGTCAGTTTTAGATGAAATTTCGAAGTTTACGAAGTAAGTTCAAACGTTTATAAGATAAAATACATTCTAGAAACAAAATCCACCTGCTGCGTAGCGGCGTAAGTATAAAAAAACCTTTTCACAGACACAGTAGTCGACGCAATATTTCCGTCCATCGATTCATCGTTGAACAAACTGAACCCTAATTCATCGATTTTCTTATTTTTACGCGCGCTCAACCAAATTTTTTATAGTTGTCGGTTCAATAATGTTTTGTCATTTGCGAGTAACCCTAATCGCAGTATGTTCTACACCACTATATATGTTACATTGTATACATAGTATGCATAATATTCGCATAGTCTACATCGAAAAGTAGGCAATTGAAATATACGTGTAAGCGCCGATCACTTTTTTTTATACGCGAACTACCACGAAGGCCTAACGCCTAAACACCCATGGGTACCGTGGGGCTATAGGGGGATACAGGGTAAAGAGGGGACGCGACACGGACTCTACCGAGGGAACATGTGCATGCAACATGCACACATTCTGGCATCATCTTAGAAATCCGCCGGGTGGTACCTCCGTATTCGACAGTCAAAGATCGTCTACCTGCCTATGATTTTTTTTTGTGTCCAAATCGTTTTGAAATTCAAATACATAAAAAAAGCTTGGATTTTATTTTTATTGAATCAAAATCAGGACTACAAGGTCTTCCTCCTTTCTTCCTGATCTCGTGCCACAACATGCCTAAAAGCTCCGAAATGGAACTGAATGTGCACAGCACAGCTTCCGTATCCAGCGCTCAAATATGTCAGCTTCGTTGCTATTTCTGATATAGATGATTACCTTCCATTTGTGCAATGCCGTTTTAATGTTACCGAATTCAGAACATTTCCAAAATTGTTTTCCTTTATAAAATGACAGACACCAGTGGTTCACCAACTTCGAGCCAAATATTTCACAAAATGATGTATTGTGTCTATTTAGGTGATATTTCGATGTCCCTAAACTTTCATGCATTTCTTTAAATTGTTTTTGATAAGAATTAAAATAATACGAAAAAGTAGCAGGACATTCATGAACAAGACACAGGATTTCATTCAAACTCCTAGAAAACATGTCATCATAATGCTTTTGTACATATAAAATTTTAATTTTTATACTGAAAGGCGATAACCATGTTCCGTTTCGAAACTATTAGTATTAGGTACGTTAAAGCTTGTTTTCATGAATCCTATAATTGAGACAAAAAGATGTTTAGGCATCCATAGTGTGAGAAAATATTTGTAAAAATCAAGTAGTAATAGGACGATCATCTCTCACTTAAACTGAGCACAAACAACAAAGCATTCGTAGAGATTCAAGCACTTCGTAAATTTGTTGCAGGCGAGTTTGCGCGACGACTCTTTGTTGCAGTCGTCGATCAGAATTCAGAACGACACACAAAAGGAGGCACCAAACAACAAGAGTGCGAAGGGGCTCACTCCACAAAACTCCATTAGATGTAGATCTGATAGCCACACCACCACCAAATCACAAGTAAACATATTTTGATCCATCATCTCTGTAGATATTTCATTCATAATTGTATTTCATGCTTTCGGGAATTGAATTTATTGCGATTTTTCAATGATCTGAACTAGAAATTTTATATTGCGTGTGTGTAATTTAAATATGGATGGTTTCACGACTGAGAAACGTCTCAGAATAATTGTGCAAGCGTACTGTGAAATTCACTCTCATTATTTCATGAACATTATAATGGAATAGTGGACGGTCACACGTGCATTTTCATAAATATGGACTTTTCGTAGCGACAATATGAACCTTAACAGCGCAGCGTGCTCTCTTCACAAGCTAAGGTCACGTGTTATACGTCGAGGGGTAAAACTGTAAATTGTCAAAGACGCGTTTTTCTGATTGTCGCGTGATTTCTCGCAATGGTAATGTCCACTGGCTTGAGAGATCATGCAATATAAAAGAAAAACATTCCTCAAGCTATTGATGAAAGTGAGCCGCTATTCCACCAACATTCTGGTCGAAGAATAGTCGTCTGTATAGAAACTTTCAAAAAAGTCATTTCAAAAATATCATTTATAAAACGTAACCCCCACACTTTATTCTGATAATATAACCAAGCATGTTATTTTTCCAAAACTTGATTTTATTTAAGATTTCCGAGGTTCGTATTTAGTACCCGTGGTGAAAAATGAATATGTAAAAATTTACCGTCAGTGAAAAAGTGTACATGGTTTTGGAAAATCTACAAAAAATGTTAATTTAAAAGCATACTGAAATCTCTCTTTAATCGCATTCTAGGCTTCTGCGACTAAAGCCCTCACCAGAAAAAATTCATTAAACAAATCGCCAGTTCTGCAACACAAGCACAACAAGTCCTCCAGCCCAATAATATCAAGAAAAGGAAGCCTGGCAGAAGTTAAGTCAATAAATAGCTTAAAAGACAGAAACTTTACAGAAGCTGGTTCGACTCAAGTCAAAGCAGAGGAGATGAGAAGGTCATCACCAAGATTCATCTTATGGGACAGGCTGCAAGTTTTTCTGGAACCAACTGGCTGTTTGAAAGGGAGAGAGGAGCACTCCTTGTACATATTTCCACCCACTAATAGGTAACAAAAAACATATTTATGAAATTTTATATCTCAACTCAATTAGTTAGGTAATGTTGTTCCAAGTACGCGGTAGTGTAATGAAGAAAATATCACGGATTTCGTATTTTTATTGCAATTGTTCTTCTACATTTTCAGATTTCGAAAATATTGCTGTTGGTTGGTGAGGCAGAGTTGGTTTGACAACGTTATACTTTTATTCATAGCGTTGAACTGCATCACGCTGGCCATGGAAAGGCCTAATATACCTCCAGATAGCACAGAGAAACTATTTCTGCAAAGCTGCAATTACATATTTTCTGTTGTGTTTGCTCTCGAAATGTTTGTTAAGGTAAGATAACATTAAATGCACATGTTTTCAAAAAAACTCAATAAATCAAAAAAAATTAGATTCACTTAAACTTTTTGCTTGCGTTTTCTATATTCCTGAAAGTTTTTACAAAATTTGTTTCTGGCGGTTGTAGAGGATCGGTGAAGATAATGTTTCTTTGTAACTTGAAAATGCGTGGGAATTACCGAGTCAGTCTACTTGACTTCATTTTTTATTTTATCGTTTGCAGGTTATAGCAGCAGGCATGTGTTATGGTCCAAATGCATATTTTACTTCAGGATGGAACATAATGGATGGATCTTTAGTAATAATATCACTTGTAGATATAATGATGTTTCTAATCAACGACACTACCTCTAGAATATTTGGAATTTTGAGGGTAAATATATACTGAAATTCGTAGAAGGATTTTTCAAACGTATAATGCATATCAATCTGTAAAAAGTGGTTATTAAATATTTTGGTACTAGCAATTCTCACTTTACAGTGCCACATTTGCGACTAGCTTTAAGCTAACCATACACGATCGTTTAGTTGATTTTCGAACAGGAAGGCTCTTTTCTTGAAATCATGAGTGGGTATGGTCAGCTTAAAGCTAAGTAAGTGTGGTCACCAATAATTACTTTTTTATAGGTGTTTCGCTTACTTAGATCACTTCGTCCTCTTAGAGTAATTAACAGAGCCCCTGGTTTGAAGTTAGTTGTACAAACGTTGTTATCTTCTTTAAGGCCTATAGGAAACATAGTGTTGATTTGTTGCACGTTCTTCATTATCTTTGGAATCCTAGGTGTACAGGTAAGACTTGAATTATAAAACTATTATAATTGTGATCTTCGGATTTCAAAAAATACGTTTCGATACGTATAATATAGAAATGACAATAAATGAAAAAATGGGCCCATTCACGTACTTTTGTTTAAGTATTCTCTATCTACATTGCGCAAGTATCGCGGCAGGACCATCTTGATTTTTGCATTATTTAAAATAACAAAAATAGGTGTTCGCGAAGGAACAGTGTACATGCTGGCGTCATTATTTTCCTTTGCTATTTTTATGCTTCCCAGTCCGCCTACGTGATATCAAATTGGGCCATTTTGTCCCATATTTCATTTCCCCTCCTTATGTTTTCAGATTTGTAGAGCGTCGATATGGTCACCTGACAAAATTGCACTATTGGTTAGCACGGTGTAGTGTGCCTTTGCCCTTAGTCAGTTAGGTCTGCTAGACAGATATCAAACAAGTTTAAGGGGAAAAAGCAAAGAAAGGAAGTAAATCAGTTGAAGTCGAAAATCTTAAGCATCGTTGGCTTGAATACCTGAACCATTTTGTTATTACAAAAATACGGTTTTGTGAAAAAATGATCTCAGGTAGTCGGAAACACAATTCCATTTCGATCACAGTGCGCCGCTGTCGGTCCACTGTGGCGTCTACTGAGTCACGCAACAGTGGGCAGCTGTGCGATTCCGCTTGATTATGACGCGCTTGTGCCTGTTGCTTTACGCTTTAGATATGGGCTGTTGATATTTGTGAATAGTCTCATTTAACGGGGCTCCTACAATCACGAGCACCATCTGCTGAGGTAACTGGCGAGTGAAAAGGAAACGAGGTTGGGCTGGACCTAAACGGTCGTCGGCGCTACTTTAAAACAGGAAAGGATGACTGCGGGTGCGTACCAAGGTAAATTTTTATAATAACAGAGTCGGATTTTGATTAGCTATCTAGCCTGTAAATCCTTTCCTATGTTGGTACTCAGCAAGTGATCATTTAGTATTTTTCTTCCCTTGTTACTCGTACTGTTCGTCGATATTGGTGATGACAAGGTGTAGCAGCATAAAAGCAAAAGCAAAAGGGTTTTCCTTTTTGGCTATTAGAAAACTTCTCAACTACTCATTCCTGGGAGAAAGGAAATTCAGAATCAAAATTGACAATATATTTTCTATAATATGGCGCAGTCAAGCCGGAGTTCTGCAGGGATCGGTCTTAGGACCGCTCTTATACTCGATTTTTATTCACGACGTCCCCCATCCCAGCGACTGTGAAGACTGCCTCTATACCGACGACACTACATTAGTAGACGAGTCATTTTTTAGTGGTGTAGTCCTTGCCGGGCTATAGGAAGCGGTGGACCAGCTTTAAGAGTGGGAGAATCGGTGACTTTTTACCAAAAAAGCGCCGTAGTGCCCCGTCGGAGATTACTATGTATGACGTTTCGATACCATGGGCTAACACGGACAAATATTTAAATCTTACACTAGAAGGGTATGGCATACATTGAACAACTGAAAATTAAATTTACAATTACATTTCGGCAACTGTATCCTCTCTTATGTAGAAACTTAAAATTGTGTTTGGTCAATAAGATTCGTATAGGCAAAACCATCATCAGATCTGTAATAACTACGCATGTGCGGCTTGGTCACATAATGCATGAACTGCAAGTTCTCAAAGTAGACCTTTCAGAACAATAACTAATGCCCCATGATATGTAACAAACGAAACCATCCATAGAGATCTTGACATCCCCTACCTTAGGGATTACACCATAGATTTAGCGAAACGGCGCTACCAGCAAGCAGTATCGCACAGCAACCCTTTGTTGCGTGAAGCAGTGAATTACATAGTCGATGAGATACGCTAACATTCTAGGCCGCGAACAAAATTAAGTTCACGTTTAGACCTTCAAATATATAGCCAAACACCCAAAACTTAGTTCAGGACAAGTCACCTACTACTTCCTTCTTTTCTTTCTCCCTCACCCCTTTCCTCTAGAACATGTGTGGTTTCTGGGTCATTAGACCTGACAGACTAACGACAGACACTGACATTACAGTGACTATGACTTAAGGCTAAGGTCATATTTACCGCTTTTCAACAATGATGATTTGTAGGTACTAGGGAACGTTATCCGGAGAAGGGTAACCAAGTACATTAGAAAATGGAACCAATTTTATTTTTGTTATTCACACAGTATAAACGATATTTTACAGCTAAGGGTCGGAATGTTTTTCTCCCATTTTTTGTGAATGGACCCATTTGGATTTAAATAATCTGAATTTTCGGGAATGGTTTTGATATGAATTTTTCGTAGTTATTCAAAGGAACATTTTTTTACTGCTCCGGAGAGAACCTCACTGAAATAGTGACAAGACAAGACTGTTTAGATAAGGGATACGAGTGGAAGAATCAAAAGTATAATTTTGACGATCTAGTGCAGGCGCTGATGTCACTTTTTGTATTGAGTTCGAGAGATGGATGGGTGAATATTATGTATACCGGGTTAGACGCCGTCGGTGTTGACAAACAGGTAACATATACATTTATATTTTCTGTAATAGTCATTTTTCATTATCTTCTTAAAAAACACTGCCATAATATCTCAAGAAGAAATTTAAAGCTACGCTTCTCCTATCCACCCCTCTACCTGATAACAATATAGAGGATCATTTTAAGAAAATTGAGCCAGAATAGGAATTTTAACTATATTACATGAGTAATATAATTTTATATGAATGACATGAAGGCGATCGATAGATTTTTCACCTACTTGCACACAATGTCTTGAGTTTGAGGACTAGACCTAAGATATACCTGTATACCGCACTGAAACTGATGAGTTGCTAATGAACAAGCAACGGAGCTGTCTGCGGATTTTGCCCATTATTTTTTTTTGTATATATTATATTATATGTATAATGGGTTTCTAATCTCAAACTTGATAAAGCCTTCCTCCTTCATAATTCTGTTGAGAACAGGAATAAAAGAACGAATATCGTAAAGCTCTGAGAATTCAATATAGGTTAAAATTTCAGAATGAGATTTTCTGAATGATCGAGTTTTTTCACAGAATATTAATAATAACTGTAGTGGTAATGTGGCCTTTATTGGTAATTTTCCACGTCATAGTGAAGTTTAGCTTGAAAACTACTTTTCCACTTGACTATAAAATGGACGAATCATGACAACCATTCATACATGCAAAATCATACTATTCACAATAATAGCAAACCGGAAAGACAATATTAAAAAGAGCAACATTAGAAACAAAAATAACAATAAAAAATAACAAAATACTAAATGAAATATTGAGAGGTTATTGCATCCCCAACAACTGTTTTCTGATGATTTTTAAAAGGAAAGTAGTGTTTGTTAGACGTACTGATGATGAATCAGTGAATATCTTTGATACAATAAAGTATGGTGATGAGGAATATCGAACTACTCATCATAATGTAACCTCGTTGAAATTAAATTTCTATGAGGAACTAACTTACTTGCAAGGTCTCTTGGTGACGATTATTTTGTGTACAAAAACTAATATAGAAAACTCAAAAAGATTTTTGAGCTTAAGCGACATCAACTCACAGATCTCAGATATACCATGGCTATACCTACGATGACCGAAACCAAAACGACACCTAAATGTGTTGCATGTCGTCGTTGGTTTGATGGAAACTCCTCTGTGTTTAGAAGCAGATTTTACAGAATGACAAAAACTGTTTTAAATTTAGAAAATTGGTTTCGCTTTTCATACCGATTTTTAGTAAATCTCAGAACTACTAGAGTTTCTTTTTATGAAACAAATTACGGAGCTCAAATTTGACTATTCAGATATTCAGAAATCTCCGATGTGGAAAAATCGTTACATAGAAGGTGTCATCAAAACAACGACGATGTGTAAATGGAATATAGATGTTATCCACTTAAAAGTGTGCATTATTAACATTAGTATTATTATAATTTTCAACATTGCAGCCCATAGTAAACTACTCCGAATGGAGGCTGTTATACTTCATATCATTCATTTTGCTGGTTGGATTCTTCGTACTGAACATGTTTGTTGGAGTGGTGGTAGAGAATTTCCATAGATGCAGGGAAGAACAAGAGAAGGAAGAACGAGTTAGAAAAGCTGCAAAGAGAGCACTGCAGCTAGAAAAGAGAAGGCGAAGTAAGTTTTGAATTTCATGTTAATCACTACAACATGTGAAACTTGTAAAACAAGACTTGGCAACAGGCGCAATTTGCATCAAGAAGAGTCAATCACGACAAGATGTCTCATAAACAAGGGTCAAAAATTATTAAAGAATTGGTTTTTACTATTCTACGACTATTTTGTCCTTTGACGATTTTCGAAGTACCGCTGCATTTACAATCGACAGGTCAAGCATAATTCATAACAATAACTTTTTTATTAGCAAATGTCGCACTTGATCCTTGTTAATCTGCAAAAATCGTTACTGATTTACATCTATCAACTTTAGTATTGGTGCTCATGAGACGTTTGCGGAATTTTATGGAGATTGATGGTTACATAGGTCCAGGAGGTCCTGACTGATGGCCGGCTATATCTTGAGATATAATGTGGATTATTCCCTATGAGGCAATTCAGAGTTATTGGTTTAAACAACTGAAAAATCTAAAAATTGCTGCATGTAGCTAAGCAAGAAACTATTGGGGAACTTGACTGTGTTCGATGGTCTTTGGGGAGGCATCCTACCTAGAGTTTTGCAAATTTACAAACATCACATGTGACTTTTGCTAGCACACACAGCGATGTTTGAGAATCTCGTTCACCTTTCAAAATTGCAAAAGAATTGCAGAACAATAGCCTTAAAATCATCCAAAAAATCACTCCTTTCTACACCACACCATTCTAAAAATACGTTTGGCCTATTATTGTACAGGAAAGAATAATTACTTTCAAAAAAATGTTATATCCAATAGAAAGGTGGCCCTCAAATGAAGTTATAAGAAAACGAGCTGATATAATTTGGAGCCTTAAGAATTTTTTTTGTTTCGAAGCAGTTCTTTTCAAACATACGTAAGGTCGCTATTGTTGCCCAGTGTTGATAACATAAAAACGAATCACTTTTAAATAATACGAATATAATCAAACAAGCACCATCGCACATAAAATACCAAGGAAATTATTGCTAAAATAGAATCTGTTAAATCAAATAATGGTTACTAGAACCATTAAAAAAAATATTATCGTTTGTTAAAACACATCAGTATGAAAATTTATCTAGCAAAATGTATTATAATTTCTATGCGGTGTTACGGTAGAATTATATTGAAACGTGAAATAAAAAATCAGGTACATTTCACCACGGACATGTTTAGGAATAATTTCCAGCTAATAACAAATTAACCACATAGATTTTATTTTTTGCTCTGATATATAGCTCCTAAATGAACGCTATAATAAATACGACGTGTATAGATTATGATAGTATTATATAGTTATGAGAATGGTACTTGATACTTGCAAGGTAAATTGAGATCCTTTTCCAAAAATCAAAATATGTAAAAGAATTAAAAAAAACTATAAACTGTCTGAATGCTGGCACACACCAGAATAGAACATCGAAAAGGACATCCCTCCCGAAAACGCACCCTGAACAAAAAATTCTCGGAGATACCGTGGTCAACTGCCGGCATCTGGTCAACTGACGACGGATCTCCCGCCGCGAAATCCTATTGCCCTCTCCAGACTCCCGCGCGAATCGCGTTGTTCCCGTTTGTTGTCGGTTTTTTTTCCCGCGATAAAGGGTTCGCAAGGCGCGAACATGACTAGGCTCCATATTCGCTGGTGGCTCAGTTGCCTCATAGCGAGTGCCGGGAGTGGTTGTGTTTTTTCCACTTCTTTTCAATTGTTTCAGTTTTACTTATATATGCTTGATTATAAATTGCCAAACCTCAAAGTAGCCCTGCAGCAGCAGTAGCAATTTCACCATCTATACTCTTCAAGAGCGCGAACTATACGAGTATATACTGTGAAGTAGGCGCGAACATCTGCGAGTGTGGAAGTGTAGCAACAAATTTTGGGATTCGCACCGCGATTTCAGGCCGTGATCCGCGCATGAGTGTGGAGAAGGTATATAACATGCTCTTTCATGTCTCTCTCGGAATTTAAGACCATGCTATGGGATCGTGTGGTGGAAGCAGCATGCTACAGCTTCTCCCGGCTCTGCGGATGCTTCCGGTATAGCGTAGTATCGCGGGAGGTTTTGCTCATCGGTGTGCGCTGCCAGTAAGAAAATCATTCTGATGTTCCCCCTGCAACAACTCAAATACCTTATTTTCATTAGTAGTACAGTGCCCTTAGGTTTAAACACTGGAACCCGGATCCACTGAATGGAATTTGAGATTTTCGGTAGATTGCGTTTAAAATACTGTTTATTAAAAAGTTTACCACTTTTGTGTTTAATGTTACTGTTTGTAATTGCGTTTACTTATATGGTTATTCAGGCCTATAATATATCAGCTGATGGATCTTATTAAACTGAACAAAAAAGTGTATGTCAAGTTACGACTTTTATGGATCCCTTAGGTCTGTTTCTGCTAGAATTGATATTTCCCATTTGCCATCAATTATAAGAGTAACGTGGACGAAACTCTGTGGATTATCGGTAAGCATGAAAAGATTCAATCTCTATCTGTTATATTCAATTGAATTATCCTAGAGGCGCTATCAAAGTGAACCTAATGTGAAAATCACAGATATATTCGTATGTTGTGAAATGTTTTTTAAATCGATCTATATCTACAGAGACTCATAAAAATAGAACTCACAGAGTTTGATTCGTAGGAAGCGAATATATTCCAGTATTTATACGTATAGTATATTGGATAGGCTTCAATAGATGAAGTGGGTTTTGTTCCGATGGATAAATCTGAAACGATCCAGAGGTATTCCCACATTTTTGTTTAATTTTGGAGTTTCCAATTATTGGGTCGGCTTTTCTAGTTGCAAACTCTTAAATTACTTGATTACAAGCAAGTACTTTCTTACCTGAAAGTCTCTGGGCAACGCTTACAAAGAAACCAGAGTTTTTTTGGACCGCTAAATGAAACCACATGCTTCAAATACTTTTTACTGAAGACGTTTTGGCTACCAAGGTGGTCTTTTTAAAGCGCAAATGGCGTGTTCAGCCAAACCCCTGAATCCCCATCTCAAAATTTGATAGCGCCGCTCCTTAAGTAATTGAATCATACCTATACCTATAACCAATACACATCTAGTCCCCTGATGTCTACCGTCGATTCACAAAGTTCTATCTAAATCACTCAAATAATTTAAGAGAAATTAAAGATATATGGATTTATAGAAATGAACTTGATCACCCTGTATCTCAGTAACGACGCCGCGAGATACATTAGTTTACAGAGACTTTTTAATGTAACATCTAAGATTTATCCCCCGAAACCACATTAATTTATCTAGATAAATAAAATATATTGTCATTGTGCTGAAGAAGGTCACCTTTGAGATTGTAACATTTACATTAAAAAGAAGGTTCTGTCAATGCATGTGGTTTCATTGGCCAGACAAGCATGGGGGATTAGAACCGGTTTTGTTTGGCTTAACGTGATCTCTCAGCTATGTATATTATATAAACCTTAATAACCGTATAAGTAAATAAACGAGGTTTAGAAGATTGAAGGCAGTTGACAATCAAGAGGCACCAAAACTAACACGTAAGCTTTCTATTACTCAGAATTGTTTGTTAGTGTTCTTAATTTTTGAAGCTTAATCAAAGCAAAAAAAAATCTATAACTTAGCTTAGCGTAGCATAGCAACCAATTGTAAACAACCCAACGCAGCACCGCACTAACCATATTCAATCCAAACAGCCCAAGGACACTCCCGAGGACTCCTGACCTGACCACACCGTAGTAGTTATGCTTTGTTCCCGAACCCTCCCATCAAACAATATTTCCAATTATCTTTTAGATAAGTCTAAATTTTCAGAGATGAACGAACCTCCATACTATATCAACTACGCGCCTTGGCGTCTAGATATACATAAAATCGTTACTTCCAAGTACTTTGACTTAGCTATAGCGTTGGTCATCGGATTGAATGTCATCACTATGGCCACGGAGAGGTATAAAATGCCCGAATATTGGGAGTACACTCTTAGGATTTTCAATTATTTTTTCACCGCCGTGTTCATATTGGAGAGCACCATGAAGCTCATCGCTCTAGGGTAAGTAACATTTCACGGTATCTATTTACAGTAAGTAATGATGACAACTTGAAAGTAAGTAGGGGAGATCATTGAAAAAGGTTTGCCTCTCAGCAGAACATGATTAGAAAAAGTTCTTGTGTATCTTACCAGCTAGTGACACTATTTGTAGCCTGACCTGGTAGTCGCATGCCTTTCTATTCCGCAAAGGATTCCTGTCAAGTTCTTTGCCTAAAGGCGTCAGCATGCTGCGGCGTCATTCAATTGCCAGGATGTAAATACTATCGTAAACTGGCAGAATGTATCAGAATACCGGCTGATGCTCATCTTACTACAAGAACTTATTATATTATATAAAATGTATCAGGATCTGCTCTAGGCTCACAAAAGCCAAATTGGTATAATATATATATATATATATATATATATATATATTTACTACTGTATATATACATATTTATCTTATAGTTTGTAAAATTTAAAACCATGAACATGACTAGGCTAAGCTCACTTTGTTCCGTTCAAGTGACATGACACTCCAGGGATATATTTACAGGTTCAAAATATATGTCAAGGACAGATGGAATTTACTCGACATAGCAATAGTGATATTCTCAGTGGTTGGAATTGTGATAGAAGAAATTGTACAGGATTTGAAAATCATTCCAATTAATCCCACCATTATTAGGGTAAGCAAAATCCGACTTCTAAAAACATGCCAATTCATCTGTTTTGCAGCAACTAAAGGGTCCCAGAATAAGAAAAATAACGCCACTAGGTCCTATGGAAAACATCTTACGGAGGGCTCACATTTGGACAAACAAGCCCATAAAGGAGGCTAGTGGAAATCGGTTTTTCTTGAATAAGTTTTGATCGACAACGAATTCAATGAAATTTAAGACAGTATGTTAACCTTGGTAGTAACCATTTGGGTCCTCGTATAATGGGGTCTGCAAAAAAACAATTGTCATTCATCCCATCAGGGTCCGACTAGTCCTAAAGCAATTTTGCTATTATACAGGATACGACGGCATATCTTCTTTTTTTAAAACCTAATAAAAACAATTTTATGAATCTTAACATTATTATTTATTTCTTATGCATACCTAAAATGTTTTTTTGCATAGTTTTGAAGATCAAATCAGATAGGTGACGTCCCCCATCCTCCTTAACACTGAGTAAACCGATTTCTGGCGTTTGCCATGACTCTTGTCAGCATAACAGTTATGTTGGCAATTTCTCCCTAGATGTAGGACTTCCAACCTTATAGTATCCTTGGACGGTTGACATAAACATGGGATTTCAAAAAACACCATAGAAATTGAAAAACCTCCCTTTCCGCAAAAAGTCCAGAAAAGATGGAATGCAATGAAGATTCCAACTTTTCTGCACAATCACAGAAAGGGGGTTACCATTAGCTTCCGGTAGCTCAGTCGGTGGCATGAAGACATCTACAGGCGTGTAGCTGTGTGTCGACCATGGCATGGCTAGAGGATAGAAGAACAAACAGAACACAAAAATTTAACAGATTTTATTTAACAAAAAAGCAATTTCATTACATTTGAAATTGAAATTTTAAAGAACAAAATAAGTTTTAAATCTTTGGCGCTGCTATACAATTATACACTTAACTTTTGCTGGTCCATTTTGACTGGACTGAATCGAGGATGGCCAGGTGCTTGAAGTGGAGGTCCCAGTTATGAGGGGTGACCGCACATTTAGTGGCTTCAAAACCAGTTGTAGGCGAAATTGAACTTAAAGGTTATCGATTCACAGTTATATTCGCCGTGTTTTTGTTGACGGAGACAAAAATCTCAGAGTCTGCACCGATTAACCATTTCAACTTCCCAAACTACGAGGTGTATTCCAATCTGAGAAAGAACGGGGAGTTTTGGCTTTTGTCCGCAGCAGTCTTTCCTGCTCCAGGAATGTTTCTTTGGAATCAGGCCGGAAGGACATTCTGCGGCTTCGCCTCAACTCCAAACCATCACCCAAATTTATTTGCTACCTTTATCGCTCTCCCTCGGACCATAACTGGAATGACCTACTCGAATATCTCGCCGTCCAGATCGACTTCCTGATCATTAATCACCCGGCTTCAGAGGTAGTTCTTCTCGGTGATTTCAATGCCCATAATGAGCTTTGGTTGGGCTCAAACAAAACCGATGCCGCAGGTCGTGTAGTCGAAGCGTTCGCTCTGACCCAGCTGGTGACGAGCCCTACTTTTTCTCCCGCGACTCGTCACACGCCAGTAGCCTGCTAAATCTCTTTCTGACCAAGCATCCTGTCCCTTACAGCACTGCTGTCCTGTCCCCCCTGGGTAACTCAGACCACGGTGTTGTGGAGGTAAGGTTTCGGTGAGAACACGCTGTGGCAGCAGAAACTCGTACAGGCCGCAAAACTCGACATTACGGACATGCCGACTGGGAGGGGCTCAGAGAATTCTTCTCTAGCTTTCCTTGGAGATATGTCTGTTCTTCGATAACAGAAATTATCCACGTCGGAATGGAGGAATACATCCCTCACACAGTGAAAGCGCCTAAACCAGGGTCCAACGGCTTGTTTAACAAATCGCCAGCAGAAGATCAAGGCACACAGAACCTTCTTACAAAACCCCACTGTAGAGAACAGACAAGCCGACGTTGAGTCCAGAAACAAATATAAAGCAGCGGTTCGAAATGCCAAGAACCAGCACGATATAAAAGTTAGGCACAGGGTAATGTCGCAGCGCAATGGCTGTCGATAGTTCTGGACGCTGGCCAAGCAGATTGAAAAGAACTTCTCACACAGTAGCCTTCCACCACTTACGTGTCAGGATGGAACTATTGTATTCGACTCAAAGGCCAACGCGGAAGTGCTAGCCAAGATCTTTGCTGCCAACTCCACCAACGACCAAGTGTCGTTAATTCAAAGGGTTCCCTACACTATGCAGGAAGTAACATTCAGGCATAAGACCGTAAGCCGAGTGCTCTTATCTCTCGACATCAACAAAGCTTCTGGTCCGGACTTGATTCCTGCCATTGTACTGAAGAGGTGTGCAGCGGAGCTTGCTGCAGTTCTTTCACGGTTCTTCCAGATACCTTATGAATCCGGCACCTTCCCAGAAAACTGGACATTTGCTCATGTCCAACCCACCCCAAAAAAAGGATCTAAGACCAACCCTTACAACTACAGGCCTATAGCTCTGCTTTCTGTTATAAGTAAGGTGATGGAGAGGTGCATAAATCGCGAGCTTCTGGACTACCTCGAACGTCACAGCTTGATTAGCGACAGGCAGTATGGTTTCCGGCACCAACGGTCCACAGGGAACCTCCTAGCTTAGGTACGTCACGCAATTGTGGAGTAAACTCATCCAGTCTTATGGTGAGGCTCATGTCGTTGCTCTTGACATCACGAAAGCGTTCGATCAGCTGTGGCACGCTGCCCTCATAAGCAAACTATGGCCTCCCAGAAAAGCTTTGCAGATGGCTGGCTGACTTGGCCGCAAGATATCCGTCGTAATTGACGAGTTATCCTCTTCGTCCCACAACGTCAGCGCGGATGTTCCCCAGGGATCGGTCTTGGCTCCAACACTGTTTCTCTTACATATCAACGACCTCCTTTCCTGCACGATTAACCCAATCCACAGCTTCGCTGATGACAGCACTCTACATGCAGGAATTCAGAGTGACAAGCCGATCTCTGCCGCTGAGCTGGAAAAAAGAAGACTAGCGACGACTTCCTCTCTGACAAGAGACCTGGAGGCTATCACTGCTTGGCACGCGACAGTCTTGTACAGTTCAATGCTTCCAGAAGACAGTACTGTACTTTGACAACAAGAAGCGTCCTAGCGCTCATCCAGTTTTGATGGACGGCCGAGTTCTGCCAAAGAGTCATTCATTTCGGCTGGTCGGAGTCCAGATCACCGAGGACCTGATCTGGCACGAACACATCTCGTCAATAGCTGCAGCTGCTGGGAAAAAGCTTGGCTATTTGTTTAGGGCTAAGAAATACTTTTCTCCGCATGACCTTCTCACTCTATATAAAGCCCAGATAAGGCCTAGCCTCGAGTATTGCTCTCACGTTATAATGCGTAAGTACATGCTGTTGAGGTCACAAAGATGTGCGGTAGAACTGCTTCACACTGCAGCCGATACACAATAAGTTCTACAAACAACTTGTTCAAATGATTTGAAAAATTATATGCTCGAGTTTTTGGATCGCTTAATACAACTATTTCATCACAGTCAGTGTAATTTCAAAACGGCGGCGGCATCAGTATAACTATCGCTATCATATAATTAATGTAACTGTGATGAAAAGATAATGTGTTTCCTAAAACGGCGTATTTTGTTAATACCACTTGACTTTTATTCAGATGAAGTGCCAAGCTTTCAAAAAATATAATTTTCGTTCCGTCATTCTAAAAGGCGTGAAAAAATAGCAAAGCTATGTTAGGGCTAGACATCATGTGAAGCGCCAGCTGGTTCTTCTCGTTTCAATATTTCGATGAGATGATGAGTCATTCCAAAGTCATTTAAGAAAAATCGATTTACATTGTAGGATATTTTTCTAAGAACTTGTGGTATAATTTTTTTTTGTCTTAGATACACCTGGAAGGTTGCTATATTATTCTGGGAACCATGTATATAAAAAATTATAAATCTCAATATTAAATTTGAAACTTAGTCTTTCTGTTTTTACGTATAGGTATTAAGAGTTATGAGAATAGCACGGGTGCTGAAGCTTCTGAAGATGGCGAAAGGGATCAGAGCACTATTAGACACTGTGATGCAAGCTTTGCCACAAGTCGGCAATCTTGGACTGTTATTTTTCTTGTTATTTTTCATTTTTGCTGCCTTAGGAGTTGAGCTGTTTGGGAGATTAGACTGTAACATCACGCCTTGTCAAGGTATATATACGAGTAAAACTTACGTAGCCAAGTTGAGAAATAACTTCTTAACATTCTTTTTAATAATTGACAGTCCAACTTTTCTATTATTACTGATTCTAGGCTTGGGTGAGCACGCTCATTTTGAAAACTTCGGAATGGCGTTTTTAACCCTGTTCCGGGTAGCCACTGGTGACAACTGGAATGGCATCATGAAAGATACTTTAGATGACGAATACTGTGACTCGAAGAACGACTGTGTGAAGAATTGCTGCATATCACCCATTATAGCGCCCATATTTTTTGTAATATTTGTTCTGATGGCACAGTTTGTGCTAGTCAATGTTGTCGTTGCGGTAAGTACTGTTTTTAGGCTGAATTACACTGCTATACCTGTTTATTTATTCATACACATTGCATAAGGATACATACTTACTTTTTACTTCCCACGTCGGGCGGGAAGTGTTGTAATCGCACAAAAATTCGAAAATAAGATATACAGCAGACGCTCGATAATGTAAACTAATTTAATCCAAGTGTGGTTCACATTATCAAAATGTTTACATTAGCGAACGTGATTTATATAATATTTGATTTATTAAAAGAAACGTTTAATACATACTATTTATAACAAAATAAACAAATATTCTAACAGCGAAAAGTATTTTTTTAATTAGAAGAAAAATAATTAACAATTTTTGTCTGTGTAAATTTGCGCTTAGCATTGTCTTCCAATGCCTGCGCCCGTAATTTACGAAGAACTAAAATATCCGTGTATGAAACTTCTTTTCTTTCAGCCCAATCTAAAGCTTGGTTAAAAACTTGTATAGCTTGCGCGTCAGTCACTACACTTCTGACTTCAATGGGATCGTTCTCATCATCCTCACTGTCCATATCCTCTTCCTTATCAGCATCATTCGTCTGCTTATCTTCGATCCATAAATTAATATCAGCAGGAGTACAAACAATGTTGGGATTCACTGTTTTCGATAAATCAACAGCATCCAATGACACACTAATAACATTATCATTATTGGATCGCAAACGTTCTCTAATTACGCTTAAGGGGACATCGTCTTCTTCATCATCTTCATTATTGGTACAAAAGAGATTGTTCCAACATTTTTGAATAGTTTGCTGGTTAAGTTCATTCCAGGCCATATGTAAATCTAAAACAGCTTCTCGTAATTTTACTTTTTTTAAAGCCTCAGATAAGTTTTTAGGATTCTTTGATAAGACAGACGAAAGTAGAAACTTCCTATAGTATAGTTTGGTGAGTCTTATTATATTTTGGTCCATCGGTTGAATTAACGGTGTTACGTTGGGCGGCATGTACATGACGAAAATTGACCCATCCCTGCTCCTCAGTTGTTGCTCGGGAGGATGACTTGGTGCATTATCCAATAGTAACAACGCTTTTATTGGAAACTTCTGTTGTTTTAGGAAACCTTTTACCTACAAATTGAAAACACATCTTCAAATTATGAATAGAGCATTTATGATAATTGATTGTCAAACCTGAGGGACAAAGCACCTGTGGAACCATTTCAGGAATATTCTGCTAGTCATCCAAGCGGTTTTTGAATAGTCATAATCAACAGGGATATTAACATTTTTAAATGAGCGCGGATTTTTTTTTGCTTTACCAATTACCACTGGCTTTATTTTGTGTGAACCATTAGCATTAGTGCAGGCTAGAAACGTTATTCGCTGTTTCTCCGGCTTTCTTCCCGGGGCAGATTTTTCAAATGATGCAGCATAGGTTTTCTCTGGTAACATTTTCCAATAAAGGCCACTTTCATCTGCGTTGTAAATTTGTTCCATTCTTAAATCTAGCTCGGTAATTGTTTTCATCAATTTTTCTTTGAATGGTTGCACTAATTGTGGTTGTGCTGATAATTTTTCACCAGATATAGACAGCAGTCGAATCCCATATCTTGTTTTGAATCGTTGTAGCCAGCCATCACTACCTACGAAATTTTCAGTTTCTTTCAGTTTTTCATTTAACAGTCTCGCTCTCTGTTTAATACTTCGCCACTAACTGGGACATGATTTTCCCGTTGTTTTAAAAGCCGCTTATACAGGGAATTTTCCATTTTAGGTGCCTCCGCATTTTTTAAAGTTTTTCTTTTTCCCGGACCTCCAAATGTATTGCATTGTATTGTATTTGTAAAATTTGAGTTTTCATACGCTTAATTTTACAGATTGTTGCTTTCGACACTCCATATTTTTTTGCTAACTGTGTCACTCCCGCACCTAGTGCAACTTCGTCTATGATTTTCACTTTCTCACTCAACTTTAAACAGTTTCTTTTATAGGATGTGGATGCCATAGTCGTAAAATATATTAACGCGTGCAATGTATTCACTTAAGTTCAAAAATGAAATACTTACGTACGTATAAATGTATCCTAAACGATCATACGACTGACCGAGTTTGTCGTATTTTATCGCAGAGGTGAATTCCCTACACTCTACATCATAAATTGGGGACTCCCCGACGCCCGACATAAATCATCGAGGCTTCAGCATTTCACCGTCGCGCTGTTTCCGTGCGCCAAGAGTTGTTTACGTTATCGAGCGTACACATTGTTTACGTTATCGGGCGTTCCGTTTGATCCTTTAGAACGAAGTTTGTGTTTACATTAGCGTAAGTTTTCATAATCCCGTGTTTACGTTATCGAGCGTCTGCTGTAATGTTTTTTTTTTTTGATGTTATATGACATGTACATCACGAAAAACCATTTCCGTCTGTCTGTCGGTTTGTCGGCTAATCCAGAAGCTCCTATCCTGGTCCAGTGGTGGCGAAGCTAGGGGCAAAGACACGAAAGAAATAAAAGTAGGTTGACACTGGACTTCCCACGCTACGCTGTCATCAGTTCGTAATGGATTATGTTTGACAAAAGTTATCCCTTTAGAGAAAAAAGTTAGCTACGAACATGTATAACAAAAAATTAAATGATCAGGATTTTCTGAAACGTCAAAAACGAAGTTTGTGCGATTTTTATATTTTTTTTTTCGTTTTCTCCACCGCCACTCGATTTTCAAAAGCTATAAAGCTTTTGCGTCCTTGGCACAGTGAAAAAATTTTATCGAATTCCGAGTGGCCCTTCTCAAGTTATAGGCGGTTACAAGATTAGCGGACCGACCGACAGACAGTCAGACAGACAGACCGACGGAAATGAGTGAAATGGTTTTTCGCGATGTACATGTCATATAACATCTAAAAAACATATCTTATTCTCAAGAATTTTCGTGATTATAATACTTCCCCGGCAGTAAGCATGCGACGTAAAAATACTTCTAACCTATAAGCGTTGCGACGATCTTATGGGTGACCCATTTTCACCCCGCATCGACCCTTGGTATTTGATTGATGTCCGAGCACCAAGTGCACCTGAAGGTGCATGTAATATCTACCAGTTTCCTCACAGATACTCTAGGGTTTTGTGTCACCGGCTCTCGTACTAGATATTCAATGCCCCAAGTTTTGTTTTTCAGAAAATGCCTGGCAGCGATTAGATCTTATATCAGTCGCTTTAAAACATAAAGCAACATTTCTTCATCTACATAAGTATCCAATAACCTCCTCTAGAAACCGCATGCGACGAGTCTATCTGATAAAAGCCTCCCAAGAAAGACCCTAACCTCACCTATTTTTATAGATGAAAAAATACAGAACTCCTCAAAAAATGTCCAACTATAGTTGAAAACATATGCAAGCTCGCAAAGCAGGCAAGCACATCATTCCAGTTAATGCTTAGTAATATACTTTGTTCACAAGAAAAGGATCATGAGAGTTAAAAATGAGGATTTAAAAATTAATTAAAAAAAGTTAAATGATGTTAAATGAATCGATTATTAATCTGACTTAGGTGTTGATGAAACATTTGGAAGAATCGCATAAGAATCTAGAAGATGAGCAAGAAATGGATGCTCAACTGGAAAGAGAATTTGTAGAAAAACAAGAAATGAGCGAACGAAGAGAACTTTTCCTAGCTTTACAATTGGATCAAGAATGCCAGTTCAAGCAACGACCTCTGACCAAAGTAAGTATATGCACTGAAATAGATTTTTGATTTGCAGTTATATTTTTGTTGTGTTTTATATGCACAAGTACTTCATTGCTGTGAATGGGCGTACTGGCATATCAATATATAGATGAAAAAGTTCACTTTCAATTATTCAAGCAGCTGGATAAAAAACTGGTAACCGAGATACATAATAAAAAGGCACTAAAATTGTAGAGGAAAATATTCCCATCAAACTGGGGAGGAACAGACTAGTAAATCAAGACAAGCTGATTTAGTAACTGCAATCTTGTTTGTAAAATTTTGTGCCAAAATAGATATTACAACATAAGGTTTTCATGAACGTGTGTATATACTGTACACTGTCTTACTTAGGTAAAAGGCAGTAGAGTTCATTTACTGCCAATGGATTTTTTTATGATTACAATTACAAAATATATCTTTGTTCGCGTGATTTAACAAAAATAGTTACTTTTTCAATTTATCAAATCATATTTACATTTCCTAAGCGCAGTAAGTCAGTTTATCAAAGCAAAAAGCAGTAGTTCCAAACTATACTGATTTTATTCTCTGTATGATATAAGTACTGCCTTTTTTCCATTTATAACCTATTATAATGTTTACTTATTTAGGTTCGTTATGTAATATTTCTATTATTGGCGAGTAAGTTTTTATCGTAATAAATAATTACTGTTGCACTAAAGGAATGATATTGAATAATATTCTTCATTTAACTTAGCATATAAGTTTTTAGTCTGTTTATATAATTATTTTTAATGAATGTAATTATTAAATGTACCTATATGCTTATTAATTTCAATTAATAGATCTTGAAAAGTTTAATGTGAACTTCAATATGAATAAATTATGTTAAAATAAAATAAAATCCCGCATTTCTTCGTTTTACCTTTGAAGATTAAAATAAATACATTATGAAAACGGAAAGTCATTTATTTCGGTTCTCGGCAACCGCATAAGTCCAAATTTAAAGAAATTGTCTTAGTGACAGCATCTAGTACAAAAAATGATGTTTTTGATTACTCAGCACTTTTTTTAGTGAAGAGCATATTTTTAAAGCTATTATTAATAGTAATTAACAAAAAAAGTATTCAAGGTAAAATTTAGCTTTAAAATAAATTTTGTATTTTGGACATTTGTTGTTTTTGTAAAACTCGCCTCAATTCTAATCCGAAATCACATTTGAATATCTCTCTATAAAGTCATTTAACTTTACAATATTCATTCACTTTGTTGTCTCGTAATTTAGTTGCAAAATATACAACTCTATTTTCCCATACTTCGTCCATTACACTTTACTGCCGTTTACTTAACCTTTAACTACTCGCGCATTTTTATTTCACGTTACTACTCGCGCGGTGTATTTTGTACACCGTTGCAAGTTATGATCCAAATATATGTTTTGTTTGCCCTATAAGTTATAGCTGTGGTAATAAGAGCAACTGTTGAACTCAAATACATATTTATTAGCAAAAATAGTAAACAAAATCAAACAAGACAGTAAAAATAAATTGAAAAAAACAACCATAATTAATAATTCTCTATTCACTATGGGATCCGCCTTCCTTACATTTGTGGCAGGTGATAACGTTGACACTATGCTCTTTACACACTAACTGGTGACAAATGCTGCATGTAATTGTGGCAACTCTATTTTTTTTTCGGGCGCAGATGGAGCATCTTCCTCTAATTTTTCTGGGTGGCTCCTCTTCTTCATCCATTTGAGTTTGTCTATATCTGGATAGGAAATGTCTGATATCTATAGGTAACGTAAGTATTCCAGCTCTTTCAGAAAGAAAAGGTTTCATCAATGACAGAGCAAGAATTTTCAGGAAAATTCTTCTGGACTTGTGAGGAGATTCAGGGTGAGTGCCGTTATACAAAATTTGGCTATTGATGCCTGCTATATTTAGCAACTGAAAGAAGAAAGCCAATGGCCACCTTTTTGTTCTTCTTCCAACAGAATAAGTATTGCACATTTTGTCCACTGTGTCCACACCCCCTTTGGTCATATTATAATCTAGAATTATTTCAGGTTTGTTGGTATATGGATCAATAGTGGAGTCGTCGTGCATAGTTGAAATCAAAACCACGCATTTATTTTTTTTTTGGACATGTGAAACTATCGTTACATCCTTTTGGAATCCAAAAAGTGATGACCCAACCAACCTATTTTTATTTGGCAAGAACTCTATCGGCAGCTCTCGCTTATTCTTCTTCAGGGTTCCGATGAAAGTTATTTTGTCTTGAAGAAGTTCCACTGCCAAAGGGTAACTTGAATACCAATTATCGGAGGTTAGATTTCTATTGCTTTCTTTTTGTTCTGCTAGCAAACGGTGAACGATGGCAGTTGGTGTATTAGATTGGCTATATTGACCATCTGGTTGTTTTCCACAGTACAGCTCCAAATTACTCACAAAAATGTTCTAGCATCACAGAGCACAAATGCCTTCAAACCATATTTCGCAGGTTTGTTTGGTATGTACTGGACAAAGCTGCATCGTCCTCGGAACGCAATCAACATTTCGTCTATTGTCATAAATTCGCCCATAGAGTAGTTTTTTTTGCAATTACTTAAAAATTTATCTAAAACGTACCGCACTGCGGCCAATTTATCTATTTTCTTGCGTTCATGCCTTGTTGTTTTGTCATCAAATCGAATATTTGCCAGCAGAAAAAGAAACCTTTGATAACTCATGCAAGCTCGAAATATTTCTGATCCGGTACCGTCTTTTGTCCATAATTCCAAAAAATGGGTGTGGTTTTGCTTTTTAGATCCAGATAAAAACAGTAAGCCTATAAAAACCAGCATTTCCGTTTTTGTAACGTCCTTTGCGTCTCGTTCTCGATCATAGTTTTCCCTAACTCTTGAAATTTCTAAATTAGTACAGTGAATAATATGTTCAATCATTTCATCATCAAAAATTTTCGAAAACGCACTTGTCTCATCGGTTATGTCACGTGCGCATTGCTTTGACCCTGGTAGTATTTTTATAATGTTTTTTATTTTGGACTTGCTGGATTTACTCATGGGATAATTTTTATACCAAATAGTCTTTTTGTCTTTGCCAATATACTTATCTTGTTTATTGGCCGCTAACACCGAGAGCAGGATATCTTCAGAATCAGAACTACTTTGATCAACATCCACTTCATCCACTTCTTCTAGTTCGCTTATTTCTTGTTCTGAATCCGAATTGTGTGCTTCTTCCTCTACTTGTTCACTTCCATCAGAATCTCCTTCTCCTCCAACTTCTTCCTCGGTATCCGTATCACATATAACTTGGGCTATAGCCGCTAATTCATCTTGGGTCAATTTTTGAGGATTTTTCACCTTAACTCGATTCCTTGAATGAATAAATCAATTAATTCAAAACATATAATCGATGTTTAATTATATACAAATATACAGACTACATTACAAATAAGTTTTCATGGAAAACCTAAAAAAAATACATTCCACTATCTACTTACATAACTGCTCGCCTTGGTGTATTTTGTACACCACCTCAAACTTCTTGAAATATCTAACCTTGTCCTCTAGCGATCCGAACCGTACTGGCGCTACATCTGGAAGATACATCGAGCGAGGCATACCTGGCTCGGCGCGGACGAACAGCTATTCGCATGGACTCGGCAGCCCTCGGCGCCATTTTGGTGTACTATATACACCAGCGCGAGTAGTTAAAGGTTAAGGACGGCAATATATGCATGATGGCTCAAAAAATTGTGTCAATTTTTTCAACGCAGAAAGTACTAGGTGGGCTGTAATAATTGTTTTTATTTCTCAGGTAGAACCTCGTAAAAACAAGACCAAAACATCGCCTTCGTGGAAGAAATTTTTCAACTCGATTTTTCCTAATATGACATTTGTAGGATGACTGATGTCAGTAAAGAGGTTGCCGGGAAAATTTATAACCTTTTTTTTTTAGATAAAAAAAGTGTTTTCGCAATAGATAATTTTTAGTTTTTTTTATCTATCTGAATAAAAAACGCTTCTTTTTAAGTTGACCTTGTTCAGATTATAGGCGATTTGGAGTCTGAAAACCCAAAAATGACTATTTCCAATGCTCGGTTGAAAATGATGATTCTTGGGGTTGCCAAATTCTAAATTAAAGATCAAACTTTGCAAGAGCCGTATAGTGTTTTGGGCTAAGTTCGTTTCAAAACATTGCTGTTATTTTTTTTATTTATCTATTTGAATGGTAACGCGCGCGTCCTTCTAACCTACGGAATATTCTATTAAAATAATTATTAAACCTTAAACATCTGTTGAAGGAGATCTTAACCTAGTCCCAACCTAGTTTCAAAATAATTATGGAAAGTGTAGGTACAGTTGAGTTTCTCGTCAGTGCTCCCTCCATTCAAAGGCGTATTCAGGGACGGAGCTCAAGCCTCCAAACCTCTACGGCATGTTATGTTTTTTCTTATATAACACGGCAATAGCATTTTTCTTAATAATGCTATAACCGATCTGTAACATGAACCTTAAAAAATGTTATCCATAATGAATGAATGTAGGACTGATGGAATCACAATTGTGTCGAATTAGTTAAAATAAATACCTACCTGCAAGCCATATATTATCAATTTATAGGTGAAGCTCTATGCCATATTGCCAGGTTAGGCCCGTTTTGGATTTCTCTTTAATAGGTGAAAAACTTGCGGTAATATTTATCTTCATCAAGTGAAAAAATGCAGGATGATAAAAGCCTAATTGGCAGGGGGATTATGTAAAAACCAACGAAATGTCAGTTGGCAGACTAGGTATTTTTTAGTGTGCAAATAGTTCATTCCACGTTTGCTCGCTATGGTCGCTGATCGCTGACACTTAAGCAACAGGTACGGCTGCAAAACGGGTTCTCAACAAGTGTACAACAGTTTGTGCTAAGTTAACATCGTGTAGAAAAGCCTACGTTATGACACAAAAAACATACGAAATGTAAAAAAAACAAGGAAATGCCACTTTTCAAGATATGTAATACCCGTGCTGGGCATCATTTGTCTATTAGATTCAGATTAATTGCGAATTTTAGAGGCAATTTGTTCAGCTCTGATTGCCATTATGTGCAAAACCATCAAACTTATACAAATTTTTTATGTTTGTGGAATTTTAGCCGCCTCTAGAACATATTTCTGGATACGCCAGTACGTCCATTTCTGTAAATTACCCTCTAAGTGACCTTTACCCTTCGTCCATCCGTAGGTGTTGTCCCTCCCATCAAATTTCACGTACAACCCCCCCGGCACAAAAATCACCCTAGAAAGACAACCCTCCCAGACCAGGAGGCAGACTCTGCACAGTCACCAACCCATCATGATGTTCAACTTGGACGACATCAGACACATTGATGACTCCCTGTCTGACATCTATAGCATACAGGAATGCATCATCGAGAGCTGTGAGAAGAATGTCAGGTTAGTTTTTTTTTTGTCTTTATTGACCCTTGTTTAGTTGATTTTGTGACCTTGCTTTGCAGATAGAAGTTGAGGTTAATCATTATCTTAAACTTCAATGCTCGAATTAGCTGTATTAGTTTTAGACACACGAATATGGATAAAAACAGCAGTATAGATAGATGGATAGACATTTATTTTCAAATAGGCACGTACGGACCCACTAACAGGAAATGCTTAAATCCAATTGAACATAGGAAGAAAAAGAGAACAACTAATGTTATATAAAAATAAGCAACTGTATAACAAAAAAAATAGCGGATAAGGTTACATATTAAATGGGGTTTTGTTTGTTTGTTTAAGATTTATTTAGCAGGATTGCTACAATTACATTCTTTTAAAAAACTAAACCACTACATGACATACAGATATTTAGAAAAAAAAACAAAATTTGCATCTCTAAGAATTTTCACTGTCCGTGAAATATTCCTTTAATCTTCTTTTAAACATCTTTAAATTTCAAGTAGACTTTAAATCATTATTCTGTTTATGAAATTCAAGAAATAATTTCTGAAATATTGATTTGCTAGTTATATTACTATTGCAGCTTTGTAAATGAAAATCTATATTTCCTCTTGTATAATAATTTTGGTATCTAATGATTATTCAATTCTACGTAGTTTTCTAAATGTTAGCAAAGGATGATTTTTTATTTTAAATATAAAAATAAGAACCAAATATGATATGAAATTTTTTGTATTCAACCACTGCAATTCTTGCAACAAAGATTTTATTTTGGTGTACTTATTTTTATTCAATATTATTCTCATAGCTTTATTTGCAGGACTTGTAATTTTGAGGATACATCTTCATTGGCACTGAACAAGATAGTTGAACAATATAGTAATTGCGGTAGAATAATTGCATTATAAACTATTTTTTTGGAGTATGTACTAAGACTATGAGAAGCCGTATAAAAGTAATTTGTTTTTTTGGCAATTCATGAATATGTATTCATAGTGATCCTCAAACTTTAGTGTACTATCAATATATATACCGAAATATTTAATTGATTCAACATTTTCAATTATTTTAACATTCATCCTAACTGTGATAGTATTTTCATTTAGGTATTTCCCTATTAGCATACATTTTGTTTTAGAAGTATTTAATTTTAGTTTATTTAATCTAAAATTCTACAAATGTCATTAATGTATAAAATAGATAGTAGTGGACCTAGTTTACTACCCTGTGGTACACCTACAGAAATATTTTTTGAGCTTGATAATGTAGATCTAATTTTGGTTTTTTGACTTCTATCAATTAAGTAACTTTGTAAAATTTTGAATATAGATCCTTTAAATCCATAGTGATGCAATTTTGTAAGTAATTTATCCCTGTCAATAGTCTCAAACGCCCTTTTGAAGTCCAAAAACAATGTTACTGTATGTTTCCCATTATCCGTACATCTCTTCCAGTCCTCTAAAACCATTTGTAATGCCGTTTCAGTTGAGTGTTTCTTCCTGAACCCAGCTTGAAATTTGGATAAAATTTCATTTCTCTCAATAAATTCGATGAGGAGTTATGGTAGAACACTTCAGTTTTGTTGGAAATTCGCCGTATTTTAAACAGTAACTTATCAGGATTAATATTATTGCTCCAATAATATCAAAACATTCATTAAGCACACTTTTAGACAAAATCTCACTCTTTGATTTGATTTAATTTTTAATATAATCTTCTTGAGACGATCAATGTTTATTGTTCTAAACTGACTGAGTGATAATCTGATCTAATGGGACATTGGTTGAGATCCCCGTTCCCCGTCAATAATTAATCTTACAATGTCGTTGACACTTTCTATGAAATAGATTTGATCTGCTATTATTTCTCCATTTGTTATTGCCCCATCGTCAAGCTTCATTTTAGATAATGCATTTCTTCTAATAGGAAAAGCAATGTTTTTCAACGTTTTCCACATCTGTTTGCTATTATTTTTTTCTTTTCATCTCGTAGAACTGCTACAGATTGGTTTCTCGATCTTGTGTATTTTAGCCAATCATTTTCACTGCCAGTAATCATAAACTTTTTATAATTGCAGTCTCTATTTAATTTAGAATCCTTGAACGTCTGCGAGAACGAAGGTGTTGGATTTTTCCATTTATAAATTGTTGTCTTGACTATAGCTTTTCATGCAAACATCAACATTCTTATATCTTGCAGTTATCTCGTTATTTACATAGTTAATATTAGTAATTGTTAGCATCAAATATACTTTCAACTTCAAAACATGTCCATGAGTGATCACTGATCTTAGGAATACGCATAACTTTTGCAATTAAGCAGAGAAGAGAGAAACTTATACACAGATATTACCTATCAACTTAAATTTGCTACAAATGACTGAAACAGGTAATTTGGACAATAGTTCTAACACAATCACAATAAAAAATAAAGGTAATTTTACCTAACAAAAATTCACATATTATATTCCCAAGAACCAGTTTATGCAAAAAGGCTGTTGTTAGAAAAATGCGCCTCGAACTCAGAGAAACAAATGTTGCTCCATTAAGCAGCAAAAAGTAATCAAATCCTCGCACAGGAAATACGCCCGTAGTCTTGAATTGTAGATATCTTACTAACATGAGACGCACAGTTGGGTACCAAATCAAGACACCATACTCTTATGTTAACTTGCTGCGTACATAACTTGTATAAAGAATTTTAAGAACCGGTCAAGAGAACTCTCTAGCAACAGATACAAATACATAAAGTAAATAACTTGGAACGACATTGGTGTATTCTGCTTGAAATGGGAGTAGAATTACTGAGAGAGAGTTGGGGTGGTTCCCTTCGCTGGAGAATGATATAAAATTTCAACAGCTGTTGACGTTCGTCTAACAAGTTTGTGAATGCCTTTATTTTCCACAAAATATTACGTTTCTGCGTTCTTCATATCATTAAAAGTTCCATCACAAAGTTGATTTCATCTTTAGAGATGAGACTGATGACCGACGGCGAAACTTCCGCATTTGTCCCGAGAATGATTCGAGAAGCGATTATTCTATCGGCGTTCAAACGTTCCCGAATACCGAAAGTTCAATAATTGACCTCCTGAGATTCCTCATCATAACCTTGAATGACTCAAACAAAGCGACAGTAAAAATTGATACGCAGCAATCAGCATCATTCATTTAATCTCTACGGAGGTCGACATATGCATGTTTAAAGGAGATATATTCGAGGAAGGAGTCATGGAAGATCGCCAATGAGACCAAATTCAGCAGGCATGGTGCGCTGAGAAGTGCTGAAGATAAGACGCATATGGAGAGATTTGGTCAACCGTATTTTAGATCAGACATTGGGGAAACTATCAGGGAGACTGAGAGAGAGAGAGAGAAAGCACGTAAAATATATTCGAGTATCACTATCATTACGGCCAATTTAAAAAATGGATCCAAATAAATAACAGCACATGATTTACTTATCTCTAAAGTAATCTAAAATGTAGAAGGTTAAAAGCTCTTTAACTTTCCCAAAGGTTTGTGCTCACCATAAAAAACGAACATTTTGGGGGTTCTGAAATTTATTCCTCCGTTACGCTATTGATTTAACTAAAAGTAACAACTCTATTTACTATACCCTCACAGTTCACATTGGGTTGCTCCCAATCTTCAATTAGCAGTTGCTGAAATAATTGGAAGATGCAGACAGACCGACAATTAAAGAGACCCAGTCTTCATACAGATGGACGAAATAGGCAACTATTTTCATATCTTAAATTTGAAAACAAACGTATATAGATGTAGACACCGTTCTCGGCGGTTACGGCATCAACTCCATATGAAATAACGAAACAGATCGAGTCGCCGTACCAAGGGCGGAACACTGCGCAGATTAATCTTCATCGCATCTGCTACTCTCTCCAGTACGCATGAAGTGGGTAACAGGGGATCGCTGTTTTCATTCTCTTCCTCTAATAAATTTAGCACGGGCTGTCGGCCTTCTCCATTGATCGTATTTCCGGGCATTGTACAATTTTATATTGAAGATTGATAACAGGACAACCCCATTAGCACGCCGATGTCAAGGAAGTTGTCACTCTGACAAATATGATTGATGTTTTTAAGACGGAGACACACAACTAAGAAACGTATGTCTTTGAGGGTGGCATGTGTATGTATGAGGAAGATAGGGATATATAAAGGGATAATGGTAGTCTTACTTTGATCCACCAAGAACGGTGACCACAACTTATACCAATGAGTAGGGTTGTCATAAATACTTTAGCCAATGTCGGGACACTTTCACCGGAGGAAAAAAAAACTTTATTCAACAAAAATAAAATGCAAACATTATGAACATTATCCATAACCTATAACATTTCTTAACTAACAAACATAAAAGGTATTTCACTTAAAACTTCTACCTAGGGGTAAATAGATACAAAAGAAGCCAAAAAAAATTGAAACTTAAAGATATTTTTCCGAGGATTTTACTTTTTTTAAAATATCTTTTTGCGTTTTAATATATTTATAAAATTCAGCACACGTCATTTTAAAGTTATACTGACATTGCAAAATTGCTTCTACAGATTGTGCCAGCAGGCGGTTCCTTTCGTCGGTCCATTGAGTTGACATTAAGGAAACAATTCTCTCAGAATTGGCATTGTGTGAAGGAATTGAAAATAAGTATTCACATATTTTAATGAATTCTGATTTTTGGTCGAAATGGTCGGTGTTTTTTAAAAAGTGAATTCATCTTTCTTCAACAGATTTACATTGCCATTCCTCGGACAGAAGATCTATATTGGTCGTCAAGAAATTTTTCAAATATATAAACTGGTCAAAGCAAGATTTTCCCGAAATTTGTATATCAATTGAAATAAAATACATAATTGTCTCTTCTACGTCTTTCCATTCTGGTTTATGAGACAAATGCATCCAATCAAAAATGGAAAATTTTTGTACTAAATTTATAACTTCTTCTGACGACTTCTCTTTTAATTTAGTTACCTCTACCTTTGTTTGAATTCCAATAAATTTCTTTGTCTTTCTTTCAGTCAACGATTCTTTGGTATCATCTAGCAGTTGTTTAGTTTCTATAACACATATTTTTGATTTTTCAATTTTTTTAATATTCTTTTCAAAAAAAAAAAGAGCTGCGAATGTATAAACATCAAATAAATTTCACTGAGTGGGTTGGCGAAAAAATCTGCATAATTTTGGGCGGTTTCTCTTCGGAACTGAAAAAATCTTTTAGTGGAGTCCATAGTTTTAAAATTCGTTCAACCGCAGGGAACAATGACAGCCACCTCGTTCTTGAATGCGACAACAAATTACTGTAAGAAACGTCTGCATAATCGCAAAACTCCTTTAGTCTCTCTGTTATAATCGTATATATCGAAAAATAATTGAATATTTTAAGGACGATAACTTCGACATCAACAGATAATAAGCTTGCAGCGGTTGAAATGGTGTTGTGTAGAATATGAGCAGGACATCCAATGCCCTCAATATCTCTTCCTACTTCAGTTTTTAATTTAAAGTGTACGTTTTTTTCACCGCGTCTATCAACGTCACCAAAGTTTGTATTGGCGTTGTCGCCACAAAAAGTACTTAATCTTTCAAGTGATAGGTTTAGTTTTCTTAATGTATTCAGGCAAAAACTGGATATTGTTTGGTTTTGCGGTTTACCATAATAAAATCTTAAAATTTAAAAATCGGTAAATCTCGAATACCGAATACTTGTTTACTTGTTTTTTGATCCAAATCATAAATCGGGACATATCGCTGTCAAATCGGGACGTCGGGACATAAGGCGTAATAACGGTGACAGTCCCTATATATCGGGACGGATGGCAACCCTACCAATGAGTGAGAAGTAGTCAGGCCACACGATCGACGCGCGTTCAACGGAACGCGCGTTTTGCATTGCATCATATTGCGTATCACCAGTGTCATGAAAAATGATCATCAACGCGCGTCCCTTGTAAATAGCAAGTAGTCGCGTTTTTTTTTATGCTGCGCGACAATCTAACGCTCGCGTATACCGGCAGTAAATCTACTTGGCACCCTTCTTGAAAGAAATCAATATTCCAGCTCGACGAAGAAACCGATCAACAATACAGACGACTCACCAAGTTCCCTCGGCCACCAACCCCAAAACGAACCCCTCTTAAGGCTCCCCAAAGCCGACGATAAGCTGAAACGGACCAACGAGACCACGGAGCAAACAGGTATGTTGATGGTGCAACCCGAAAGCAAGTCTATGCACAAGATGTACGGCAGCACCAAGCATCTATTCACGAAGCAGTTCTCCATGGATGTCAACGAGGAAACGCCGTTTCTGCTGATGGTACCTACCCATCAACAAGGGAAGGTATGTACTCACATTCCATTAACAGTGACAGACATTCTGGGTGAATTTTTAGTGTGTAATCAGCCGATTACTCCGTTATTGTAAAATACAGGGTGTCCGCAAAGTTGGGGTTTTCCTTTTCAGAAACAACTACCCTTGAAATAACAAAGGTAATGTGTAGTGAAACGAGGGCGACCAAGTAAAAAAAATAAAGAAAAAAGTACTCACTCTCCAGTTGACGAGAAGGGCTAAGTACGTCTCTGCCCGAAATCATTCCGCTCCAACAGAAAATGAAATCAGCTGATGCGCTACCGAGCAGACGCAGGCAAACAAGGAAGGCAAAATGTTGCGTAAAAAGTCTAGGTATTGCATCCCGTCCAATCGATTTGGGAGAATAAATGGTCCAATGAGCATACCGTTCACCATGCCAGCCCAAACATTCACCGAAAATGTTTGTTGAAAATGTGCCCGACGGACAGCGTGCGGATTTTCTACTGACCAAACATGAGTGTTGCGAAAGTTATTCACCCCATTACGCTTGAACGTAGATTCGTGTGTCATCAAAAAGTCCGGATTATTGTCATGTTGATGCAACAACCACTCACAAAACCGCAGTCTTGCTGGAAAATCGTCAGGTTGAAGGGCTTGTACACGTTGGACGTGAAACGGATACAGCCCCTCTTCACGCAGCGTTTGCCACACTTTAGTTTTTGATACTTGCACTTCTCTAGCGCTTGTTGAGGGATTCTCGTCTACACGATTACCTCTACACGCGTGACCGTAACCGTCGGTTGAAGGTTGCATACTGACCTGACACACAGACACACTGACCCCGACCCAGTTCTATCGTCGGGTTGAGCTAGTGTCCTAGTTCCACTCGGGGATGTCGCGGGTCGAGGCTACAGGACGGTATTCAGATATTTTTGATGTTGCAAAGCCCTTTATCTCGGTTCGCTTAAGTCTTTGGTGTATATGGTACTAAGAAAAATTGCTTATGTTTTCAAGATCTACACGTCGTGTAAAGAAAAACCCCAACTTTGCAGACACCCTGTATATCTAAAAAAAGGCATCACCTAGGTTTTACTCTGTACTTTCTACTAAAGTTGTCAGTTCATAAAGGATTATGTTCAGCACAAATTGGTCCTTCTGCAACAAAAGTTAGTTATGAACATGTACAACAAAAAATAAATGGATCAAGTTAGTCAAACAGGCTCATACAATTAAATTTAGCATATTTATTATGCTTTTCTTTGGGGCTCTTTAGGATTTGGCTCCCTGAAAAAATATGCTGCCCCTCGCTCTTCAAAAAGTTTTGAAGGCGGGTACGCTTTCACACAAAGTTATTTCTTGCCGATGAATGGCCCTCCCCCTTCCTCTGAAAAAAAATTAGTGCGGGCATACAAGCTCAAAACCATGTATACATCAGGCGTGGATGACGATCGACGATCCAGTAGAGCAGCGGAGGCCGACTGCTACACACATGCATCGGAAGTTTTAAGGATAAATGTACAGGAAATTGAGGTATACCCTCCCCACCCCCTCACAACTCCTATCCCTCCAATTTTTTACCCCCAAACATTCTTTCAAAAATGATCAGGATACTCCGAAACATCAAAACGCAAAATTTAAGCGATTTTATTTTTTTACTTTTTTGCCCCTAGCTTCACCGCCACTAGATCGATTTTCAAAAACTATAAAGCTTTTTCGTATCTGGCATAGTAGTAACCTTGCGTAAAAATTTCATCAAAATCCGAGCGGTACCTCCCAAGTTTTAGCGGGGTCAAGGATTAGCGGACAGACAGACACACAAACAGACCGACTGAAATAAGTGACATGGTTATATACGTATACATGTGAGATAACACGCAAAAAGGGATGACTTGAACTAACGGTCTTGAATAACTGTTGTTGATATTTGAAAAGCTGATTGGCATTGGATTTTTTTTTATATCGAAACAGCCGCGCAGGCAGAAGCCTAAATGCCGGAACACCGCGGCTGCTATGATGATCCCAAAGAAATTTTGTTAATACGATTTTTGAACTGCCTAAGGTTAGTAGAACGGGGAAAGCTTCCTCCCGTAGATTGTTCCACAATCTAGACACCCTCGGGACGAAGGAGCGGTCGTATCGGCCAGTTCTGGATGTACGAAGTTTGACACGGTTAGGATGGGACGCCGAAGTCAGGCGGGTCTGTCTGGCAGGCACATCGCGCGGCGGCATCATGGAAGAGAGCTCTGAGGAGCAAAGCCCGTTGGTGTAGCGATAGAGCTAGATCGCCGACGACCCGCCGGTGCGAAAGAGTCCTGAGACTGTCTGTTAGAGAAGAGTCATCGATCAGTCGGACCGCCCTCCTCTGGACAGCATCGAGCATGGACAAAGTAGTCGGGGCGGCAGCACCCCAAATGTGTGAGCAATACTCGAGGCTAGGCCTTATCTGGGCCTTGTATAGAGTGAGAAGGTCATGCGGAGAAAAGTAATTCTTAGCCCTAAACAAATAGCCTAGCTTTTTCCCAGCAGCTGCAGCTATTGAAGAGATGTGTTCGTGCCAGATCAGGTCCTCGGTGATCTGGACTCCGACCAGCCGAAATGAATGGCTCTTTGGTAGAACTCGACCGTCCATCGAAACTGTATGAGTGCTAGGACGCTTTTTGTTCGTCAAAGTACAGTACCGTGTTTTGGAAGCACTGAACTGTACAAGATTGTTGCGTCCCCAAGCAGTGATAGCCTCCAGGTCTCTTGTCAGAGAAGAAGTCGTCGCTAGTCTTCTTTTTCCCAGCTCAGCGGCAGAGATCGGCTTATCACTCTGAATTCCTGCATGTAGAGTGCTGTCATCAGCGAAGCTGTGGATTGGGTTGATCGTGCAGGAAAGGAGGTCGTTGATATGTAAGAGAAACAGTGTTGGAGCCAAGACCGATCGCTGGGGAACACCCGAGTTTACGTTGTGGGATGAAGAGGAGAGTCCGTCAATTACGACTGATATCTTGCGGCCAGAGATAAAGTCACCCACCCATCTGCAAAGCTTTTCTGGGAGGCCGTAGGATGGAAGTTTGCTTAAAAGGGCAGCGTGCCACAGCTGATCGAACGCTTTCGTGATGTCAAGAGCAACGACATGAGCCTCACCATGAGACTGGATGAGCTTACTCTACAGTTGCGTGACGTAAGCTAGGAGGTCCCCTGTGGATCGTTGGTGCCGGAAACCGTACTGCCTGTCGCTGATCAAGCTGTGACGTTCGAATTAGTCCAGAAGCTCGCGATTTATGCACCTCTCCATCACTTTACTTATAACAGAAAGCAGAGCTATAGGCCTGTAGTTGTAAGGGTCGGTCTTAGATCCTTTTTTTGGGATGGGCTGTACATGAGCAAATTTCCAGTTTTCTGGGAAGGTGCCGGATTCATAAGATATCTGGAAGAGACGCGAAAGAACTGGAGCAAGCTCCGCTGCACATCTCTTCAGTACAATGGCAGGAATCAAGTCCGGACCAGAAGCTTTGTTGATGTCGAGCGACAAGAGCACTCGTCTTACGGTTTTATGCCTGAATGTGGGGAACCCTTTGAATTGACGGCACTTGGGCGTTGGTGGGGACGTCCATGGTGGAGTTGGCAGCGAAGATCTTGGCTAGCACTTCCGCCTTGGCCTTTGTGTCGAATACAATAGTTCCATCCTGACACGTAAGTGGTGGAAGGCTACAGTATGAGAAGTTCTTTTCAATCTGCTTGGCCAGCGTCCAGAAAGACCGACTGCTATTACGCTGCGACATTACCCTGTGCCTAACTTTTACATCATGCTGGTTTTTGGCATTGCGAACCGCTTCGTTATATTTGTTTTTGGACTCGACGTCGGCTTGTCTGTTCTCTATAGTGGGGTTTTGTAAGTAGGTTCTGTGGGCCTTGATCTTCTGCTGGCGAGCAGTGTCACACGATTTGTTGAACCAGCCGTTGGGCCCTGGTTTAGGAACTTTCACTGTGTGAGGGATGTATTCCTCCATTCCGACGTGGATAATTTCGGTTATTGAAGAACAGACAGTCGACGCATCCGCGTTAGTGAAACAGACATCTCTCCAAGAAAAGCTAGAGAAGAAGTCTCTGAGCCCCTCCCAGTTGGCATGTCCGTAATGCCAAGTTTTGCGGCCTGTGCGAGTTTCTGCTGCCACAGCGGCTTCTGACCGAAACCTAACCTCCACAACATCATGATCTGAGTTACCCAGGGGGGACAGGACAGCAGTGCTGTAAGGGGCAGGATGCGTAGTTAGAAAGAGATCCAGCAGGCTACTGGCGTGTGACGAGACGCGGGGGAAAAAAGTAGGGCTCATCACCAGCTGGGTCAGCCCTTGAGTAAGAGCGAACGCTTCGACTGCACGACCTGCTCCATCGGTCTTATTTGAGCCCAACCAAAGCTCATTATGGGCATTGAAATCACCGAGAAGAACTACCTCTGAAGCGGGGTGATTGATGTTCAGGAAGTCGATCTGGACGGCGAGGTATTTGAGTAGGTCATCCCAGTTATGGTTCGAGGGAGAGCGATAAAGGCAGCAAATAAATTTGGGTGATGTTTTGGAGTTGAGGCGAAGCCACAGAATGTCCTTCCGGTCTGATTCCAAAGAAACATCCTTGGAGCAGGAAAGACTGCTGCGGACAAAAGCCACAACTCCCCCGTTCTTTCTCAGATTGGAGTGCACCTCGTAGTTTGGGAAGTTGAGATGGTAAATCGGTGCAGTCTCTGAGATTTTTGTCTCCGCCAAGAAAAGCACGGCGGGACGATTGGATTGCAGGTAGTGATGAACAGCATCAATGTTGCTGTTGATCCCGCAGATGTTCGAAAAAAAATTTTATCTTCGATGTTGTTCCCTCGAGCCCACCCTCCACCCGGACATTCCGAGAGTGGAGTGAGTTTACGGCCGGAGTTCTTAGTGCTCGAGGGATCCATCATCATTAATTTCTTTGTTTTGGTAGATAACCGACTGCATAGCTTAGGTGTGGAAACATGCGGACATTTATAAGACACCCTGGGAAAAGCTAGCGGGTGGTACTGCCTCGGTCGACTGGTCCTTGTCTACCACCTTCTTTTTAGGTGTTAGTGATGTTAAATAGACCTGAAGTGGCCCGTTGGCAGACTTGTACCGCCACCCGGCAATCGGTACTGAGGTATTCCTTAACGCGTGCACAATCACTTGGACGGGAAGAAGTTGTATACTGGATACAACAACTTCCGGAACAAGCATTTGCCACGGCCCTCGCTCAGTAGGGATAAAACCGTTTGCCACAAGAGCTGTTGATTTATGCCTTGGATAACTGTTCATAACATGATTGGCATCATTTATAATGCAACTAAAAAGTGTCGCTAGTTTATCAACGGCCTAACATTAAGACATTTGTGGTATGTATGATCCCCTTCTAGATAGTTTAATTTATTAAAGTTTGGGCTGAAGTCTTCAGGGCGCTTACGACTTACTGTACATTGCACTCCGTAATTTATAGTGTGCCAAGCCAGTTCTATTCTAATTTAGATTTTCCAAATAGTTGTTGGCTCTGACGATTTATCATCAATTATTTTGTACATGTGTTTCTTCAAGTCATTATGACCTGTTATAAATCCTGATAGTATGAATATGGGGTTCCTATGAACTGTCGTGTTCGAGCAAATCCTAAATCTTACTCATTTTTAATGAACCTTAATGTCGAATGTACCAGAAGGAAGGTTGCAATGTCCGATCAGTCTACCTGATACCACTCTCCACAACGCGGAATATCTGTTCATCTCTGAGACCTTGATAGACGAGATATGTGGTCTTCTCCTTAATATGCTACAGTTACATATGAAAAGTCCAACCAGAACATTGAAACGTCACTATAACATGCGTTCTATAGCCACTACGACATGTCTGGGCCTGCTATGTACTTCTTGGTCTGGATACAGTCGTCTCTGCTTAACCATGCCATCACCAGTTCTCTGAGTAGAAGACTGTGCCAGCGCGGTATCAACTTGGTATCTGGCAATTTCTAGTACTGATTCGGAGAAAGTGCAACAGCTCTTAGCTCGTAGTCTTGTCACTCTTTTCAAGTAACCTCTTGTCTAGCTACCAGTACATTATTAATATGCTCATGCACCCATAATGAGGGCATGCATTTCCACATAGCTAGGCGTTATCATTGTTCGAGCAATGTACGTATACAGGGTGACTTTGAAGTTGAGTCATTAATTTTCAGATAATGATTGTAGAAGGAAGATAAACCAAAATATGTGTGTAAAAATAAAAAAAAATTAAAAAAAAAATGTTTACCTTGTTTTATAAAGTATCCTCCCGACAAGTATTTCAGTGCTGACCTGTATTTGATCGTGAGGTCCCCTGTGAGGTCTTAAGTCACGTGATTCACGAGCACGTTGTACTACATTAACAAAGGCACGAGGGGTTGGTTGCACTCGATTGGGAAACCGATCCGCATAAACATGTGCCATTTTTTATTTCGTTTGAGCCACGCAACAGACACTATTCACACGCGTTACCGACTGACGATACTGACTGTATGTATAACTGAACTGAATAAAACAATTGTAAAAACATCGTTTCAAATTCTTTCGCTTTTTTGTTTCCGATGCGATGAACCGATAAGGCGGATTATATCCGTTGTTGCCAAACACGAGCACATGATATTATTATTGAGACAGGGCGGTACTCAAACTTCCAAAGGGCTATAACTTTGTTACTTTAATTTTACCAGAAAAATGGTAAAGGAAAAAAACATTTCTTTTGATCAGATCTACTCACTGTTAAAATAAATGACTCAACTTCGAAGTCACCCTGTATATCAATATACTATGTTTTCTACTTTGTTTTATCGCCGCCAAATACGCCTTACCAAACTAGAGTCTGTATCATAACAGACTAGCAAGAGTTTAAAAAATTTATCAGCTATTTTTCTAACTTTCTTAGGACACCAAGCTCCCAAAGCACGACAGTCAAGAGAGCGTCCAAAGGATTATCAAAGAACGAAGACAACTGGACGAAAACCTAAGGGAAATCGACCAATACGACATTTTCGACGTAACCAGAGACAACAGCGATGAAGATCTGGTAGACAGAGAAGAAGACGGATATCAAAATGCTAATGATAAGTGTTAGTGGTAGACTCGAGGTAATCATATAAGGTTTGCTACAAGCAAGTTTCCTTTTTGTTCCTTTTCAATGTATTTAAGAACAACAACGTTAGTTCCTGTCGAAAAATATTAGTTTAGTGATATTGAATGTTGTTAAATCGAGTTTCAGTTTATAAGGCTAGAGATGAGCTGACCTGTGGATTTTTATACAATCCTGCATCTTTTTCCATTTGCGAACGGAGGATGAAGCGAATAACTATAATACATCACGATTGTTGATGAAAAGATTCATGATCTGATGGATTTATTTGTATGTGTCCTCCTTCGTAAAAATAATAAAGTTTCTCCATGCATTGAATTCTTAGGCCCGTATCGTCAGTCGTTCCTACAATTGGACTCATTCATGCCCTCCTTGGTTGTCATAGTATTTTCTCTCCTTCAGAAATTTCTAGATTTCACCTGTTCCGTATCACTGTCAAGTTATGTTTTCGTTTTGAATCGTAGGAAATTTCAGGCTGATAAAAAAAGGTGATACAAATCGAAAGCACGAACAATTTGATGCAAATAGATCTTTGTGACATAACCTCAAAATAGAGCGCTGACACGGAAAAGTAGAAAACTATGGCCTCCTTGATTTTCATAGTTTTTCCTCTTCTTCCAAAAGGCTGAGATATTTCTACTGTAACGAGGCAGCGTCAGCGCTCTCCTATTGTCAAGCTATGTTTTCTTCTTGAGTTGTAGGAAATTTCAGGCTATACAGGGTGTTCCATAATTATTGCGACAAAATGATAGGGGTTATAGAGGGCATAAAAATATGCAATTTTGCCTTATAAACCCCTGTTCGTAAATATGCCGTTTGAGCACTACAGTTAATTTTACCTTAAGAGCTCATAGGAGAAACAAAAAATTCACCAGCTGCAAAATGTTCGTCTAGCACATTTCATGGTCTCGCCGGTTTGTAAAAAAAGCCTGCTGTGTTTACATTTTTGTTATCGTACACCCGTACCACCTTTTAAAAGTCCAAGCCATGGGTCCAGCAGACTATCTGCCGCGTCGACGTTTTTGTCGTTGGTGGCTGCAGCAGGAGTTGAGGCAACCAAACTTTGGTCGCTACGTTTTGTTCACTGACGAGTCCTGTTTTACAAAGGACGGTTATTTTAATAGCCGTAACAGTCACATTTGGGATGAAGAAAACCCTCATGCCATAGCCATCCATAGAGACCAACATCAGTTTTCAATTAACATCTGGTGCAGCATTGTGGACGAGCATATCATCGGGCCATATCTGCTTCCACCACGTTTGGATGGGCATGCTTATGGTCGATCCTTACAGCATGTGCTACCGGAACTATTAGAAAATGTGCCACTGAATATAAGAGCCAACATGTGGTTTCAACACCATGTCGGTCCAGCCCACTTTTCTTTACAAGTGCGGCAGTATTTGGACGACAAATTTCCAAATAGGTGGATAGGCCGAGGTGGCCCTGTGCCTTCGCCTGTGCGGTCACTTGACCTGACCCCACTGGATTATTTTATCTGGAGCTATCTGAAAGCTTTAGTGTACGAAACTCCTGTTCCCAACCAACAAGAGCTACTGGGAAGAGTGATGGCCGCGTCCGCACATGTTCAGGACATACCGGGGGTATGCCACAGAGAGCCGATCATTGAACAATCGTGCACAGCTGTGTATTGAGCAAGGTGGAGGACACTTTGAGCAATTACTGTAGGTAAGCTGTTTCAAGAAAATGATCTTTTTTTTTGCTGCAGCCCAAACGGCATATTTCCGAACAGGGGTTTATAAGGAAAAATTGTTCATTTTGATGCCCTCTACAACCCCTATCATTTTGTCGCAATAATTATGGAACACCCTGTATAACATATGATATAAATCGAAAGCATGAACAATTTGTTGCAAATATATTTGCAACATAACCTCAAAATAGAGCGCTGACACGTAAGAGTAGAAAACTACGAAAATCAAGGAAGCCATGAAATCCTACAATTGTAGGAACGACTGACGATACGGGCCTAAGGACCTTTTTTCACAATGTAGTGAGGCTCTTGACAGTATATAGACACCTTATCTCACTGAGTTGGGACATGCTTGGATACATGACACTAGATGATACACGCACTCACGAAAGAGAATCAAAGGACAGGCTTTTAGGTACTCAACAAGACTTGACCAGTTCGCGCACCAATTAGAAGGATAACAGAAGAGTACATTTCCGAGGCACCACTGGCTGATATAGTTGCACTTTGGATTCCCAGGACACGAAACTCAAAAGAGCGTTTTGGATCCCATATGTCCCGGTGTCTCTCGATCAATCCAAGCTCTAGACAAACTGACATAGGGTGTCCCAAAATTAATGGATCAAATAAAAGGAGTTGATGAGAGGGTCATTTGCAATCCGAAAAACTGTATATGCCTTATCCGATTGTGCACAGTTTTTCAGTTATCGCCATTTTTAAGAATTTGTAGAAAGTCGCTACTTTTGAGACTACTATTTTTTCTGATGTTATGTTCTGTTACTTCTTAATCAGGTTAAAAGGATATGTTCCCAAATGATGCTTTGTTGTAACAAAATCTATCATTGAAAATTAATCGACTTAATGTAGGGTATAACTATAGGCTGAACCGTAATTTTATTTATTGTCTTAGTTTCAGCATATTCAAGTATGCTTGTAGAAAAAAATAGCGGTCAGGTAAAGTGTGCCCATAGTTGGGAAAAACCTTCTAGTAGTATGGCCTTAAAAAATATATTTTAGATAATTAAATGTCTTGTATAGTTTCTGGCGATATGGGCAAAACACCACAGGCACCATAAATCTTGAAAATTGTCATCTTTTAAACAGATTCCTCTAGAGCCATTCTCAATGACGAGGAAAAAAACAAAACTAAATCCTCAAATTCAAATGAACGACAGGACTTTTCAATGTAAAGAATGACGACCATCTCATTATTTTGGGTAATAAAAGGGTAACGGTATTACGTAAATATATGACTGTCTTTTGTAATATAAATAGGTATACGTAAAGTTTGTGACGATGACCTATTCATTCCTCTTTTGTAATTCGATGCGAGAAGACATATTCGTCACAAGCATATGCAGAAATGCATGTCAATAATGGACATGGAAATGCTCGGTTTGCTGCCAAGAAATATCGAGAACAATATCGCAGTAGAGCAAATTTACAGGCTATTGCACATTTTTACGTATACATAGTGCCTACTACATAGGAAAAGAAATACCTGGGAGTCCAGGACAAGAGGGTCGAGAATCGACGAAGACGTGGTACTACAATTAACTGAAAATGAGCTCTCCAGCAGCGAGCGATGTATTTCTCAGAATGCTGGTGTTATTGTTTCACATACAACGTGTGCACGCGTTTCCTCCAGAAGACTACCCAAATCTCGTCCAGCTTTGCCGAAGGATCCTCCAACAATCCAGAAATGACGCGCAGTCGTTCAAAACAATTTTATGGAAGAGCAGGAAAGTTAAAAAACCTGTTATTTTATCTAGGACATTCAATTACCTAAAAGGTATTTTGTAATACCATGTATCTGAGTATTTCTCCTAACTAAGGACACTATCTGCCCACCACAATGTATAAAATTACGGTTCAGACGAGACAATGTCAATGTTAGCTGGAGTAATTTTACAGTGATAGCTTTTTTCAATGATACATTAAGGAGCACATCCTGTAAAGTAAATTGAGAAATAACGAAAAACTCCAGAAAAAACTAGAATCAAATTCAAGCGAATTACCAAATGAAAATGGAATTTACCATTTTGGATTGATATTTACCAATTCGTTCAAGCGAGTGTGGTTATCAGTCTGGTTATAAGATCCGTGACGTCATGAATCAGCTGTTATATGTCATAGTTATCACCGTAAAACTGTGGTATATTATATTTACCCAACTCCGGAGTAGTTTTAGATTTCTGGTTATTATTTGAAATGTGACAAGTTAGGTTTTTGGCGGGAATTGGATATTTTTGTTGTACTTCTGCTTCATTTTTGGGAAACTTAATACAGGCTGACTTCAGTTGTAGCATAAAGTAGATCACCTTATTAGTTATACTAATTACTGTTGTTGGGGATACTTTAAATCTACTTCCTTTGCTTAAAAAAGTATCCTGTGTAGCCGTATACCACAACAATATTAAAATATGGTCATATAAACTCACTGGATAATGTCCACTTTTATACGGTTTTGCTAATATCACTTCTGCTAAATGAATAAATTAATGCTTACTTTAACATGCGGAAACGTTTAGAGAATTGAAAGTTATCATTGCTACAAGGCCATTGTTCATCATTAAAATTTTATTTCTGAAGAAAAAACATTTCTGCCATTAATATTATGAAAGGTTTCTCTTTTGAACTTTCCATACACTGTTGTAGACAAAAAGCACCGATTATTGAGTGATAATAAAAATAATCAGAACTTATATACGCGCTTTTCTAAAATAAACAACTTGCAACAAAACCGCGGTGTTAAAACCAACGCGTTCAAGCGATTCGAGTCACTGACGTCATCAACCCGTGCGTCATCTTAAACCATATTATAACTGCGGTACATAACATAAATTTTGGTTATTCGCTTGGATATGATTTAGTACTGTCGTAAAAGTATCGAATTCTCCAAAATGCCGATAATGATTCAAAAACCATGCACAATCGGATAAGAACATATATATACGTAGTCATGCCATAAGTTCTGTCCCTCGTTTTCAAACAAGTGTAGACCTGTTAATACTTGTCCGATTATTTACATTGTGGTGTCAGTTGATTAAGCGCTTTTCGGGTAATTACTTATACCTCAGTTTGTATTGATCTCTCGAAGCATAACGATGGAGTGGGGCAAGGCATAGAACCGTATTGCAGTGATAGCTTTACATAAGTGTAATCACAGTGCTAGTCAGATTTTTGAACTCTTACGCGGCCTTCAAATATCGCGTAAATTTGTGTCTAGGACCATTCAGCGGTACAATGAGACGTCCTCTGTTGATGACAGGCCAAGAAGCGGAAG